ATGAATAACTCTCGATGATTTCACGCGTTTTAAAAGATTTTTATGGTCCCCCCTTATGTGATTTTTCGGGGTGTCCGAAAAAAGGTAGGGAAAAAATAGACAGTATTTACGGGCTTTCAGAAAATTCATTCCTGCCCTTCGGGTCGTCAAAACAGTGATTCAGGCCCTTCACACATCGGTGCAGTTTCCGTTTTTTGGATGAATTTTGATGAAAGATATGTCATCCTAAGCAGAAAAATCGACTGATTTCAAAACCGAAAAAAAAATTTTGAAATTCGTCTGACAGATCTTTTGAAAAATCGTGCTTTAGTGAAAAAAAACGTCATTTACAACGGAGAAACACGGAAACCCCTCTCTTTCGAGGCGTTTAACTCGGTGACATCTCAAAATCGAGACATTTAAGGTGATAGATTCCATTTAAGAGATCCTTATCTTCATTTTGACACGAAAAGCAAGCAATTCTAACGCCTCCACAAAAACTAGTAGTATTGTGAATCTAAAAATAACTGTCTGTCTGTTTGTAATGACCTCAGAAAGCGACACATAAATGCTCAAAATTCCATTCTTCCACATCTGTGTGGAAATTCCATTCTTCCACGTACGATAATGTGCAGTTGCGTGTTTCAGAAGACTGGGTAAGATGGGAATTATTGATTTTTGTCTATGGAAAGGAGCAAAAAGCATTTATCAGAATTGAGAGCTCGTTTTGCAAATCAAATAAAAACGCTTAGTAGGTTTCCAGACGGCCCATCTCCCATCTTCGCTCCGAAGCTGAAATGGGTTCATTTCTGATGGAATTCTTTTGATAAAATACTTTTCGTTATTTTAGACAAAGAAGTTTCCTCAAATTGATCGAAATATTTTTTGATTAATTATGCATTGGAAATAAATAAATGAATAACTCTCGATGATTTCACGCTGAAAATCTCACCATAGCGTGGGTGTACGAACCCGGCGAAAAATATTTTTTTATAAAAATAATAAAATATTTAGGAGGTAAATAAAAATATTTAGGAGGATAGACCCCCCATTTCCCATCCTCGCTCCGAAGCTGAAACGTTTTCATTTCTGATGGAAATCTTTGATAAAAAACTTTGTGTTATTCCACAAAAAGAAATTTCCTGAAAGTGCTCGAAATATTTTTAGTTTAATTATGCATTGGAAATTGGAATAAATATTGATGATTTCACATTGAGAATCTCACCGCAGCGTGGGTGTCCGAGTCCGGGTATCCCGGAAACCAATTCGTGAAATCCACCGGGCTTCCATCCATCCATTCAAAAACATTTTCTTGGTTCGGATTTCTCTGAATAAAGAAATTTTTATGTTTAGACATTTATATTTCGATAAAATTTTTCTATTTTCATATTGAAATAGTTCTAGTTATCCAATTGAAACCATTATTTCTATCAAAGAACTATCAGACAAAGGAATCATTTTTTTCAAGAAGAGCCTCAAAAAGGCATTACTCTGTGTTCGTTCCGGTATTTTAATGAGAAAAATTCAACCTTTAGTCCAATCCTGAAGTGATCAAGCGAGGTAACAGACTTTGCTGAATGAATATTGATTGCTTTTTGGTTTTTATAAAGCATAAACTTCTACGAAAATGATGAATTTTCAGAATTGAATCAATGGAATTTCTTACCGAGTTTCTGAACAAAATCGTTCTCTTCCTGACTGTGAATTGTGACTAACTGGCTCTTTTTGCTCCCACAATATGCCACGGCTTCATCAAATGTCATTTTTTGATCGATAGCCTAGAGATGAAGATAATCCTGGTTCACAACACCCACCAACCTTGTACCAAGAAGCGGTTTGTTCCAAATACGACCATCCATTCAGATCAAAGGCCAAAGTCACTGCTCGATTTCTGAATTTCTTCGAAAAACTTTACTCCAGGCTTTTTGAAACAAATATTGCTTCCTTTTCCATCAAACAAACTCACGAATTTGCCCGTAACTTCGCGATTTCGCCCGTTTTGTTTTCTTTTTCCAATTCTCTAAAGGAATTGATTGGATTGATTGGAATGGGTGTTTTGGAAATGAAAATACTGTTTTCTTAAGTCTCAGTCGACAAGAGATGCCAAATGAACTCACATTTCAGCCCTCAGTTCGGTGATTTTCGTGGCCCTAAAAGGAGATTTGTTAGTTAAGAATCTGTCATAACAAAGAATAGCCAAAGAGAGGAGAAAACTCACAACTCGGCCTTTAGCTCAATGTTTTCGGACCTCAATTTCCTCTCGACCTCGGCATTCTCTTTCATCGTTTCGTTTAGCTCTCTTGCATTACGGGATTGAAATACGTATCTAAATTGTCGAGTAGATATTGGAAAAGTTTAGATCAGATCAGTTAGATTGCAGTTTATCCGATTCGATCTGGTAAAATTCAAATTTCAATCGACTTCCACCAATCTGCTCTGATCTTGAGAGAAACCGCTTCTTTCGTTAGTTAACAAGCTGTCATAACAAAGAATAACCAAAGAGGGAAGAAGACTCACAAATCGGCTCTGAGCTCAATGTTTTCGGACCTCAATTCCCACGCGACCTCGGCATTTTTCTCCCTCGTTTCGTTCAATTCCCTCTCGCTGAACAACTCTAGCCAGTCAAATTCTAATATTGTTGAACCTACAAATCGGCCTCCAACGCGGAGAAGGTCCTTGACAGCTCGGCGATTTTGGAATCTCTAGAAGTGTCTCATGCTCAGATATTTCTTAAGCAATCTCAAGACTCACATCTCGGCTTGCAAATCAACCATCAACTTCGTCGGTCGTTCGCACAGTTCGCAAATTTTTTCTCGAGCCTCGACGAGCTCTTGTTGGTTTTTACTCCTGAAAAGTCTTATCATTGGGACACTCAAACCTATTTCTTGTTCATTCTATCAAATTCGCTTTATTGATTTGTTTCTCCTCCAAAAAACCCACAAATTTCTTTGACAAGACCTCAAATTGATGGGATGGACGGTATCCATGAACGACGAAACCTGGTATCTACTGCTGAAATCTAAGATCATCGAAAATCCCTTTCTGACCAACTTTGACGAAGAAATTTGACGGAAAAGAAGAGAATCGTGATGAATAGAGCGACGGTCATCACACCCATTCCGATCAATTGGTGAATTCGCTTTGAATTCAAGGAAATGGGAAGAATGAATGAAGCGACGATGCCAAAGTGCCAAAGTGAAAGTTTTGACGGCCCAAAAGGCAGAAATAACTGTTTTGACGAGCCGGAATAGATGTGGAAGAATGGAATTTTGAGCATTTAAATGTTGCTTTCTGAGGTCATTACAAACAGAGAGACAGTTATTTTTAGATTCACAATACTACTAGTTTTTGTGGAGGCGTTAGAATTGCTTGCTTTTCGTGTCAAAATGAAGATAAGGATCTCTTAAATGGAATCTATCACCTTAAATGTCTCGATTTTGAGATGTCACCGAGTTAAACGCCTCGAAAGAGAGGGGTTTCCGTGTTTCTCCGTTGTAAATCACGGGCTTTTATAGTTTTAGATTTAAAATTCAACTCACCTTTGTCATTGAAGAGTTTGACAGAAGCGAAAAGCGGCAAAGTCGTATTTGTCGAAACCAATTCTGACAAATGCTTTGTGTTCTTTTCTATGGACAAAATCCAATAAATCTCTTATTCAGTCGTCTGAAAACACACAACTGCACATTATTGTTCATTTTTGGTCAGTAGCGCATACTCTAACGACCGTTTTTTCAAATGCCTTTCCCCAGCTTGCCAAAACATTTGCCGCAAACCTAAAAAAATGAAACTCTTTTCAACAAGCTGCAAAGTAATAATGCCAAATTTGACCGAACATCTCAAGAAGAATCTGGCTTCAATTGGTGGCAGAGTGCCACCCGAATGGCCAGCGAACCTTCAAGAATTGAGACATTGAGTACAGCCATCAACTGCCCGACAATCGCGGATATCGATATGTGAGGTTTGTTTGAATGTTTGAAAGCTTTTTCAATCTATCTATTCAATCTAGTCGTCTATTGGGGTCCGGACATCGTGACGATCGCATTGAGGGTTTCGGATTCAAAGCGGATAGTCTTCCTGTTGTGATGCCCGTCCGAGCACATCTAGTCCGAGCACATCTAGTCCGAGCACATCTAGTCCGAGCACATCTAGTCCGAGCACATCTAGTCCGAGCACATCTGGTCAGGCACATCTAGTCCGAGCACATCTGGTCGAGCACATCTAGTCCGAGCACATCTAGTCCGAGCACATCTAGTCCGAGCACATCTAGTCCGAGCACATCTAGTCCGAGCACATCTAGTCCGAGCACATCTAGCGACGTTCGGATTTGGGAACACGGGAACAAGCACCGCTCAAGTGAGTTCTCCAATTCTTATGACCAGCGGGCCAAGCTCCCATTTTGAACAGAACATTGTTAACTCCCATTTTACCCTTTCGGGTCTTCAAAACCTCGTTCGGCTCTTTGGGCCCTTGAAAACAAGAAACAAAAGTCTACTTTCAAATTTATTGAATCAGTCAATCTGCACAACCGAAAAAACTTCTCATTAAGAGAATCCCAATAAGTTCACAACTAGCACTTGTAAATCTTATTCATCACTTCGAGTTTGAGGAAATTTCGATCGACAATACAGTGATAAATAAAACATTGTTTGTGTATTTGTTACCGAGAAATGAAATCCGATCTCCTCGATGCGAAACAGATAAAAACCAGCGATAATGTGCAGTTGTGTATTTTTAGAAAAGCAAATCAAATGGGATTTATTGGCTTTTGTCCACAGAAAGAACACAGGAATTTATCAAATTGAGACGTCTTTTTGCAGATAAAAAGATACTCTTTGGTAGGAGGATAGACCGTCCATGTCCAATTGCCGATATAAAGCTGAAATGTGCTCATTTTGGATGGAAATCTTTTGATAAAACATTTTGCGTTATTTTACACAAAAAAATTTCCGCAGATTGGTCGAAAATTTTTTGGATTAATTATGCATTGGAAATAAATAAATGAATAAATGTCGATGATTTCACGCTGGAAATCTCACCGCAGCGTGGGTGTTCGAATCCGGCTGGCTTTCATCCCATTTCGTGAAATCCACCGAGCTTCCATCCGTCCATTCAAAAGCATTTTCTTTGTTTGGATTTCTCTGAAAAAAGAATGTTTATTGTATTTTAGCGAGAAAATTCAACCTTCAGTCCGATCCAGAAGAAATCAAGCGAGTTAACAGACTTTGCTAAATGAATATTGATTGCTTTTTGGTTTTATTAAGCTTCTGTGAAAATCATGAATTTTCAGAATTGAATCAATGGGATTTCTTACCGAGTTCCTGAACAAAATCGTTCTCTTCCTGACTGTGAATTGTGACTAAGTGGCTCTTTTTGCTCCCACAATATGCCACGGCTTCATCAAATGTCATTTTTTGATCGATAGCCTAGAGATGAAGATAATCCTGGTTCACAACATCCACCAACCTTGTACCAAGAAGCGGTTTGTTCCAAATACGACCATCCATTCAGATCAAAGGCCAAAGTCATCGTTCGTTTTCTGAATTTCCTTCGAAAAAGTTTACTCTAGGTTTTTTCACGCAAGAGCGTTTACAGAGAAAAATTTTGTGGACGCATTCTAAAATGCACTAGCTACCGTAATTCGTAATTTCCATTGTTCAAAGCTATTTTCCCTTGTTTTTATTCATTTTTCACCATTTTCGTTGTCATTTCATTGCAAATTCATCAAGATCAACGGCTATACCTTCGCTTTTTGTAATGACTTTTACAGAGAGATTGACGATCACAAATGTCGAATTGACACAATCAAAAACTTTTAACGAAACAACAACAGAAATAACGATAACGTCCCGGTAGAAAGGTTGGTAAATAATTAACAATTTTAAATATTCTTTCAGTGCAAAGCTGCGTGCTTTTGGTTTTACTGTAAGTTCTTCCGCTTAGTTGTTTAACTTTTTAGCAACCGACATTGTCAAATTTTGGAAGCACTTTACCGAAGCATTCTATTAAAAGTTGTAGGTTGGACTGCTTGATCTTATGTGCCGATGCATTTTATTTAGATTTAAGGAAAAAAGAAAAAGAAAACTGAACTTGCGTTTGATTGGCTTTAAATAAAATTATGGCACACGGCGACTCGGTACTCTTAATCACAAAAAAGTGATTTGAATAAAGACTATTTAAATCCAGGCATATATTTCTTACTGTTACTTGTCCTAGCAGTTAATGTCTTCTCTTTCTTTAGGAATTAATTATCTTCGTTCGTACTTTAAATGAAGTTTTGTTGTCCAGCTCAGGGATGCATATATAGATCAGATCATAAAGGGGACTTTCGAAAACATTTTACGAGGAACCACCCGACACTTCCTCTTCCAGATGTTTTGCTTGACGATATAAGATTTGTTTGTCAATGTTGCAACGGCTTATTCAAATCCGACGACTCGTTGAAGAGCCATCAACGAACGCTTAAAAATGGAAATCAATCGGACCAGGCAGTTACTAAAAAGTTAGACAACCAAGCGGAAGAACTTACAGCAAAAAGAAAAACACGCAGCTTTGAACAGAAAGAATATTTAAAATTGTTAACTATTTACCAACCTTTCAACCGGGACGTTATTGTTGTTTCTGTCGTTGTTTCGTTAAAATTTTTGCAATTCGACATTTGTGGTCGTCCTTCTCTCTGCAAAAGTGATTAAAAAAGCAAAGGTATAGCGGTTGATGTTGATGATTTTGCGATCAAATGGCAGAGGAAAATGGGGAAAATGAATAAAAACAACGGAAAATGGCTTGAAGCAATGGAAAGCAATTGAAGACTACGGTAGCTAGTGCAATTTAGAATCCATGCCCAAAATTTTTCTCTGTAAACGCCCTTGCGTATTTTTTCAAACAAATACTCCTTCCTTTCTCCTTTGCATCAAAACAAACTCACGAATTTGGCAGCAACTTCGCGATTTCGCCCGCTTTGTTTTCTTTTTCAAATTCTCTAAAGGAATTGATTGGATTGATTGGAATGGGTGTTTTGGAAATGAAAAAACTATTTTCTTAAGTCTCATTCGACAAGAGATACCAAATGAACCCACATTTGAGCCCTCAATTCGGTGGTTTTCGTTGCCCTAAAAGGAGATTTCTTAGTTAACAATCTGTCATAACAAAGAATAAACAAAGTGCGAAGAAAACTCACAAATCGGCTCTGAGCTCAATGTTTTCGGACCTCAATTCCCTCTCGACCTCAGCATTTTTCTCCCTCCTTTCGTTTAGCTCTCTTGCATTACGGGATTGAAATACGTATCTAAATTGACGTATCTAAATTCGTATCCATCAATCTACTGCTCTGATCTTGAGAGAAATCGGCTTTTTCGTTGGTTAACAAGCTATCATAACAAAGAATAACCAACGAGGTAAGAAAACTCACAAATCGGCTCGGAGCTTAATGTTTTCGGACCTCAATTCCCCCTCGACCTCAGCATTTTTCTCTCTCGCTTCGTTCAACTCCCTCTCTCTGAACAACTCTAGCCAGTCGAATTCTAATATTGTTGAACCTACAAATCGGCCTTCAACGCGGAGAAGGTCCTTGACAGTTCGGCGATTTTGGAATCTCTAGAAGTGTCTCATGCTCAGATATTTCTTTAAGAGATCTCAAGACTCACATCTCGGCTCTAAGATCAGCATCAATCTTCGTGGAACGATCAGCACTTTGCGAGATTTGCGAATTGTTCTTCGTGAATTCGTCACTTCTCTCCTTTTGTTCACTTTGACTAAAAAGACCAGCCTAAATTTTCCAAGATTTGTTGGTTTCACCCACATTTCCGCCTCGAGTTCGCAAATTTCTTCTCGAGCCTCCACGAGTTCTTCTTGGGTTTTACTCCTGAAAAGTCTTATCATTGGGACACTCAAACCTATTTCTTGTTCATTCTATCAAATTCGCTTTATTGATTTGTTTTTCCTCCAAAAAACCCACAAATTTCTTTGACAAGACCTCAAATTGATGGGATGGACGGTATAAATGGACGAAGAACCCTCGTCTCCACTGCTGAAATTTAAGATCATCGAAAATCCCTTTGTGACCAACTTTGACGAAGAAATTTGTTGAAAAAGAAGGAGAACCGTGATGAACAGAGCGACGGCCATCACACCCATTCCGATCAATTGGTGAATTCGTTTTGAATTCAAGGAAATGGGAAGAATGAATGAAGCGACGATGCCAAAGTGCCAAAGTGAAAGTTTTGACGGCCCGAAGGGCAGGAATAACTGTTTTGACGAGCCGGAATAGATGTGGAAGAATGGAATTTTGAGCATTTAAATGTTGCTTTCTGAGGTCATTACAAACAAACAGACAGTTATTTTTGGATTCACAATACTACTAGTTTTTGTGGAGGCGTTAGAATTGCTTGCTTTTGGTGTCAGAATGATGATAAGGATCTAATAAATGGAATCTATCACCTTAAATGTCTCGATTTCGCAATGTCACCGGGTTAAAAGCCTCGAAAGAAAGGGGTTTCCGGGTTTCTCCGTTGTAAATGACGCTTTTTTCACTAAAGCACGATTTTTCAAAAGATCTGTCAGACGAATTTGAAAATTTTTTTCGGATTTTGAAATCAGTGCATTTTTCTGCTTAGGATGACACATCTTGCATCAAATTTCATCAAAAAACGGAAATTACACCGATGTGTGAAGGGCCTGAATCACTGTTTTGACGACCCGAAGGGCAGGAATGAATTTTCTGAAAGACCGTAAATAGCGTAATTGAAGGGAATCCCCTTCTATTTTTTTTCTCTACCTTTTTTCGGTTTCCCCGAGAAATCACAACTGCACGTTATCGTTCGTTTTTGTCAGTTTCGTATCGAGGAGATTTCATTTCACTTCACGCTAACAAATAAACAAAAAATGTTTTGAATCTATTGAAAATCATTGAGAAAAACGCAGTTATTTTCCGTAACACCTAATATTCGATTTCCAGGGTGTCATCCTTGTCGCTTCTTCTATTCACATATAGTGTGTGAGTGGTTGTTTATGTGTCTCTACCAAACGAAACGACCATTTGAGTGTGAAAACGAGGAAAATGCAGAGAACTTGCCTTACCTCGTTGATTCTACAAGTATAGTATGAATATTCTAAAAATCACTGAAATTTCAGACAATAATTCCAACATTGTGGATTGCTTTGCCGATCGTTTGTCTCTGTCCGATTGTCGTTCATTAAACGTAATACAACAAAAAAAAGCGTTCTCTTATCACGGAAAATAAAAAGAAGCAGTGGCTTTTTGATGGAAAGATAATAATAATAGCAAGCTTGTTAGAAATTTTTCACGAGTTAGAATTAACCCAATTGACTGGTTTAATTTTGAGCTGCTTTCAAGATGAAGTAAATTTCTTCGACAACACAATGAGTTAACAACTCATTTGCAACAGGAATCTTTGCAACAGGAATGTTTGCGAATATGTGACTTTATCGTGACACAGAATATCCAAAAACCCTTATTAACTAAGAAATCATAAATTGATGACAAAGAAAACTCTTGGAGTCAAATATTTCCCTGATGTCGTTATAGCCCGACAAAGATCTCTACGAGGCCAAACGGACTGAAATGGCAGCAAAGGGACGGTACCCGGAGTGATGACCATGCAATTGCTCGGCGAGGTGAGCAGCGCCTGAAATCGCAAATATCCACAATATGATATCAATGATCATTCATTTCTAATTAGTGCAGTCCTGGGTTATTGTTGGCGACTTGATGCACGATTGTTTAGCCTAATGAAAGAATATGAGCCTTAAATTCCCTTGACCAAAATCAATGAGCTCGGTTGTATTTTTCAATTGTTCCAATTGTTGATCGTTGTAGGAATTACAAAAGCTCAAACCCGACAATTCTTGGCACAAATCCGTCGGCAGCCATGTGGGATCGTTTGGCCGATATCTCTCGAAATCGCCCATTCTCAACGAGGGCCACTCGATGGATCCTAAAGCTTAGAGTTGCTGTTTTTACCTGTATCTTTTTATTATCGAACTCACCGATCCAAAAGCACATTTTTGACGGTTTTCGAGGCCAAAACGTTTCCCATTTGTAATTCGCTATCAGATGACTTCTCAGTCAAGAGATCATGTCTTTGTCGATAAGAGGAAAAAGGTCAAGAAAATGTTTTACTTACGTTCTGAAGAGAAATCATGCTCCATTTTTCGTATGTGAACGAAGACATAAAGCAACCAATATGAAACTCAAACTACTTCAAATGAATAATTCTATCTTCTGGGGATGTCCCTTAGATGTCCCTTAGGTGCTAGATGTGAATCCAGCTCAAAATGAGTTGAATTTCCTCTTCAATATCTCAAGCTATTGTCCAAATGAACCTTGAACCGTGTAATAAGCGAAATGCTTGGTTTGCCCATTGATGATATCAAGTTTGCATCGAGTACCCCCTGATCCTCGTCAGAAAAGACCACATATTGACTGAGAGATCGATTCGTATCGGCCCTAAATGTTGATGCTCGAGAAAAATCATCTCTCCACAATTCCCACCATTTCTCATTGTGCAGATCGTCTTGAATGTCGGCAAGAAGAGTGAGAATTTTACTCATCCGTCAACTTGTTGTCCAAGATCTGCGGTCGACTCTTTCAAAGAAGTTAACGGCAGCCACTTCCAGCGCGGTAAAGGCCACCTCTTCGCGCATCTGGAAGAGAGAAATTGTATCGGACTCTAGAGACAGCCAACCTCAAAATCCTGATTACTCAATATCTCCAGGTGTTTAGCGTGATGTTCTTTCTTTGTCTGGAAGGTTCCCATTTGAGAAAGTACTGGATAGCTTTTATCGTTGTGCTTCCTGTCCAATCCGTGATAGAAGATACGAGCCAAGTGCTGAACATAACTTAACTTCAATATGAAGTCTAAATGAAACAGGCAGCCATCTCGAAATGATGTAGTAGGCGGTCAACGCAGCTGATCGTAATTCTCCAGGTGAAAATCGCCCCTTACAGCTGCTGTTCTGATATGTTTTTGGAGAAAATACTTGGGTACCTTTTCGATCTCCCTTCAAATACATTTTCTCATTTAACCCTTAACCTCCAACAAACCCAGTACTTGTTTCGTATTGCAATCGGGAATAGGCCTCTTTGGGCATCTTTCTCGCTTGTCGCGTCTCGGTGTTGAATGTAGCGATTCATCATTTGGAATGTCGAATTGATCAGGTTGAAAGATTGCCTGAAATACCAACTGATGATAGATACTCAGTATTCAAAGAATACTCAGAGTTGCGATTGCTCGAGGATTGCTCCAAAGTCGGCGATTTCCGCCGTGAATGAATCTTTTGGAGTCACTGAAAAACATTAAGTCTTCGAAGATTTGTGATGTTTCTGGATAGTTTTCGAGTCAAATTTATTTCAAATAAGCTTCGGGCTCACAGTGACTATCAGAGGCAAAAACCTCAAAATTCTACACCTCACTCGACCACACTTTATTTCATCAAAATGCGGAGAGACTCACCCCAGCCGTCGAGAATTTTCGTCTCGAGTCGGCTCACTTGGACTTTCAGGGCTTCGGCTCGATTCGCATTGGCGAGAATTGCTGAACGATTCACATGGCGGGGTTATCAGAAAGCTACTGAGTGATGAGCTGATCGGCGCTCAACCAGCCTTTCATTGTGTCGTCGAATTTGTTCTCGAACGCCTCATGCATCACGCCAAGCGACAAGGCGTGCTCGACGGCTTTCTTATTCATCTCCATCGAATCCGTCCTAAAACGCTTTTGCCATTTTATGCGCGTTTTACTATTTACATGCCAGCCTTTATAGTTTTGGTGTTGCCATTGAGCTACAAAGAGTTAAAAAGCTGCCTAGCGCTCTAATCGTCTGTTGAGGGGAAAATACGGTACCTATTGGTGATCTACTCTAATTAACATACGCGCGGGGAAATTGGCGTTTAATTGCACCAGCGAGCGCTGTGAGCGGAGCATTGGTGGAAAGATACAATCAGTTTGTTTTCAGGTCGGATCTGATTCAATTCGTGCCAGCCCGCTTGTTCCAGGTCGTTTTAGTTTACCCTTTCCATGTGTCAGAATAGATAGTATACCTGGGTACAGTTTTGTTTGATAATCTCTGGATGAAATTATTTTCGCTGACCGATCAAGAACCATGACAAAGGGACTTTCTAGTTTGTTTGGAGGCAGAGTCTCCCGAAAATGCATTGTTGTTGAAGTAGAACTCGATCTTTCTCGACGACGATCTTCCCCTCCTCACCGAGTTTTGTTGTACTGGCTTTGACAACAAATCATCACCAAAAATGGATCCCGGTAAATTTATTCAAGTCAAACTACAATATTGATTTGCATCATCATTGATTCTCACTTTGGCGCAGAAATGCCACATGAGTTAATTTGTGAGTTCAGCAATGACTCAAATTGTACGATTGCTTGTTTCAAACGAGTGAACGACTTTCGGCAAGTCAATTCTCAACTCGGAGTCCAATTTCAGTTCCACATTGCTTTGAGTTTGCATCTCTATTTGAGCGTTTAATGTTTCAACATGGAGTTTTATTGTATGCCCGTGTCTGCAAAGGGTACGCCGGGATAGCAGAGTTTCCTCAGGCAGCCATTTGAAAGCATTTTCTTTGACAGTAGGCCGCTGGTATTCATCTCGTAACAATGAAATTTTTCGTCTTGTTTTCTCACTATCACACACTTTAATCCGATGCTTGTATTTAGTTTTATTTCTTGCGTCCAAAAGGTGATATAAGAGTAACCCGCTCAGCTTCAGCTCAGGACTGAAGTTGGGGGACCGCCTCTCACCATCAATGCTCCGCTGCGCTTCGCTAGATACAACCAAATACTAATTTCAACGCGTATGCTCAGCGGTGGAGAGATAACCAACGAGTGCGAAAAGTCGAAAACAATGGCTTGGATACTTCTATAGGCTACCCATCGACCCCCGGCTCTTTTAGCCGAACCTGCGGCTGTTTCTGTGGCGATCTCGCGTCCGGCTTGCAAGACGAAATCAGGTTAGATGTTAACTGAAAATGTAGATTCCTTCTCAAACGCCCAAAGCTTCCAACCGAATCGCCCAATTGACTCCCGTGTTTCGAATGTTTTGTGGCAGTGTTCGATCCTTCAACTCTTAAAAAGCCACAAATCCCACATTCATGCCCTGAAAGAAAATTTCTTACGAATTTCACAGTTTCTTCACACCTCGATCAGATTGTTTTCTCGCCTGCATAGTTTAATCTTCGTTGAGTTGCAGGATACAAGCGATGTAGAAGGGTCATTCGAGTGCCACTGAAATGTTTGCCTCGACGGCGATTCCCCGTTGGTGGGGAATTTATTCTTTTTGTTTCTTCATGAGGCAGGCCTGTAGGAACCAGACTGGCTAGAGAATCCCATCTCGCTGATTCCTAGACAGATAGCTCAAGGGACAGCAGAAAAGAGACAGAAAGCCACGCTGGCTGTCTCTATCATTATCATCACATAGATTCGTGAAGCAAAGAATTTACCTCGTTTTCGAAAATCCTCGATGGAACCGGTCTTTTTGATCGGTGGCTTCCTCTGCTCCAAGAACTTTTCCACTTAATTTAGATGTTGACATTCAGAATTTCCTAGGTTGTGATCAAGTTGAAAGAGCAAGCATCGAGTTTCATGGCCCCTTGAGAATATTGGGAGATCGTGTAGCTGTTTCGATCGAGTCCCCGAAGAGCCTCGTCGAATTTGTGACTGCAATTTTTATTAAGCCGCCCGCATTCCCCGACCAACTTGAGCTTTCGATCCAAATGTCGGACATCGTCGTTGTTCGCAAGCACTTGCTGCAGAGTCTCTTTGGAGATCTGGAAAGTTTCAGTCTTTATATTTATGCCTGACACAAACATACATATTGTATATCATCCAATTTGCCATTTGCCGCGTAGATGAATTCGCCAAAGCCGCGATTCTGAAATGAAATTGAAAAGAGGCAGCTTCAACTGAAACGCCTCTATATATTTGTAGAGTAAAGATTCTGGCCCGAACCCTACTAAAAATGGATCAATTAGAATAATAAGTGAAAGGTTAGAAGATAAACGATAAAAGTCAACTCGACCTCCTCTCCTAAACGTAGATTTTCTTGATGCGACATTCTTCTCTAAAATCAACTCAATTCAAGAATAAGTGATAGAAAAAACCCGTTCTTGCATCAATTCGATCTCTCGTTCTTCCCTCCGCTGCTCGCGTTTTTCGGCTCGTTCACCCTGGACGATCGAGTAGACCGAAGTACCAATGGTGGCCGCCGTGCTCAGGGCCATGGCGATGGGAATAAACCAAAACTAAAATCCGCTTACAGATAAAATCAATATTTCACTCCTTGCCAATCCATCAGCCAACTGAAGATGAAGAAGGAAAAGCAGCAGCAGAAAAATCCGAGAGAATCTCATTGGGTGAAGCGTGTCAGGAAGTCAATAAAGACGAATTCCTGCTTTGTCACCTATTAATATGTGAGGGATCCAGATCGATTAATCCGATCGAAAAAAACTCAAAGAACACTTCTTATCTTTGAATTTCGCTCTGACATGCGTGGGCTGCGAACGAGTTCCCTTTCGAATTGTTTTCTTCAATTTGGCCCAGGATTTCCGCGGGATTGATAACATTTCTGCGTTCTTTCGAACTCGACGCTCAGCTACGGGTATTAGGGAAAATAACTGCGTTTTTCTGAATGATTTGCAATTCATCCAAAACAATAATTCAAAACATTTTTTGTTTATTTGTTAGCGAGAAGTGAAATCGGATCTCCTTGATGCAAAACAGACAAAAACGAACGATAATGTGCAGTTGTGATCCAAAACTATTTCGATCAATCAGAAAATTTCTTTTTATGAAATAATATTTATCGAAGGATTTCCACGAGAGATAAACACGTGTCAGTTTCAGAGCATCAGTGGCAATGGCTGGTCTGTTCTCCTAACCAACACCTTCATTTTCTCTGCAAAAGGAGTTTTCGATTCTGATGAAGTCTTTGTGTTCCTTTCTGTGGACAAAAACCAATAAATCCCATTTCATTCATTCTTCTGAAACACACCACTGCACATTGTCGTGCGTTTTTGTCTGTTTCGCATCGAGGAGATCGGATTTCTTTTCTCGGTAACAAATGCACAAACAATATTTCATTTGTCACGGCACTGTCACAGTTTCGTCTCATTTTTCTTGCCCCTTCGATTCATCGATCGAAATTTCCCCCAAATTCGAAATGATAAATAAGATTCACAGGTGCTAGCTGAGACTTGATTGAGAGATTCGGATTCTCTCATTGAGATGTTTTTTCGGTTATTCAGATTGACCGAACTCAATAAATTCTATTTGTTTGATAATTGATTAGAGAAGACAAAAATCACTCAAGAAATTTATTTGGCGGACAAAAGAAAGCAATTATCACAAAAAATAAAGAGAAGGAGCGGTTTTTTTTGAAGGAAAGAGAACATTCCCCTGTTAGAGATTTTCTCGAGAAGAAAGCCCAATTCGTTTAGTCATTAGTTGATTTCGCTCGGGGAATTTCCTTACAATTATTATTTTTTTTAAACTTTCTGATGCAGCTTCCAACTGAATATTGACTTACTTCGAGGATTTTGTTATATAAAACCTAATTTGGCGACCCTTTTGACGTCTTTGAAGACTTCTGGCCGTGTGGAGTTACAGAGCTTCGCCAACCTCCGTATTTTCGCTTACGAATTTGGTCGCCCAGTGGCTACTTTTGAAAAAGAGTTTGGATGAAAAGTGCTTAGAGTGGTGTATATGGGCCAGATGTATAACCTAGAAGGCTTGGCACTAAAATTTTAAAGGATCTACAAGTAATTTTTCAAAAATACTTTTTGTAAATAAATTGTAAGGGGCGACCATTATCATTGTCGAGAGCCCGGCCTCTCGGCTGAAAAATTTTTTTCTTTTTTTAAACATGTTTTTCTTTCGTTTTAGACCATTTCCAATCAAGCTAGGGTGGTTTTAAAAGATTTTTATGGTCCCCCCTTATGTGATTTTTCGGGGTGTCCGAAAGAAGGTAGGGAAAAAGTAGACAGTATTTACGGTCTTTCAGAAAATTCGTGCCTGCCCTTCGGGTCGTCAAAACAGTGATTCAGGCCCTTCACACATCGGTGCAATTTCCGTTTTTTGATGATGAAAGACGTGTCATCCTAAGCAGAAAAATGGACTGATTTCGAAACTGCAAAAAATTTTTGAAATTCGTCTGACAGATCTTTGGAAAATCGTGCTTTAGTGAAAAAAGCGTCATTTACAACGGAGAAACCCGGAAACCCCTCTCTTTCGAGGCTTTTAACTCGGTGACATTGCGAAATGGAGACATTTAAGACCTTATCTTCATTTTGACACCAAAAGCAAGCAATTCTAACGCCTCCACAAAAACTAGTAGTATTGTGAATCCAAAAATAACTGTCTGTTTGTTTGTAATGACCTCAGAAAGCAACATTTAAATGCTCAAAATTCCATTCTTCCACATCTATTCCGGCTCGTCAAAACAGTTATTTCTGCCTTTTGGGCCGTCAAAACTTTCACTTTGGCACTTTGGCATCGTCGCTTCATTCATTTTTCCCATTTCCTTGAATTCAAAACGAATTCACCAATTGATCGGAATGGGTGTGATGACCGTCGCTCTATTCATCACGATTCTCCTTCTTTTCCGTCAAATTTCTTCGTCAAAGTTGGTCAGAAAGGGATTTTCGATGATCTTAGATTTCAGCAGTAGATACCAGGTTTCGTCGTTCATGGATACCGTCCATCCCATCAATTTGAGGTCTTGAAGATTGATGCTGATTTTAGAGCCGAGATGTAAGTCTTGAGGTCTCTTAAAGAAATATCTGAGCATGAGACACTTCTAGAGATTCCAAAATCGCCGAACTGTCAAGGACCTTCTCCGCGTTGAAGGCCGATTTGTAGGTTCAACAAGATTAGAATTTGACTGGCTAGAGTTGTTCAGAGAGAGGGAGTTGAACGAGGCGATGGAAGAGAATGCCGAGGTCGAGAGGAAATTGAGGTCCGAAAACATTGAGCTAGAGGCCGAGTTGTGAGTTGTTGTGTTTTCTTCTCTCTTTGGTTGTTCTTTGTTATGACAGATTGTTAACTAGCAAATCTCCTTTTAGGGCCACGAAAACCACCGAATTGAGGGCTCAAATGTGAGTTCATTTGGTATCTCTTGTCGAATGAGATTTAAGAAAATAGTTTTTTCATTTCCAAAACACCCATCCAATCAATCCAATCAATTCCGAGTAAAGTTTTTCGAAGAAATTCAGAAATCGAACGACGACTTTCTTGGATCTGGATGGCTGGTCGTATTTGGCAAAAACCGCTTCTTGGTACAAGGTTGGTGGATGTTGTGAACCAGGATTATCTTCATCTCAAGGCTTTCGATCAAAAAATGACATTTGATGAAGCCGTGGCATATTGTGGGAGCAAAAAGAGCCATTTAGTCTCAATTCACAGTCAGGACGAGAACGATTTTGTTCAGAAACTCGGTAAGAAATCCCAATGATTCAATTCTGAAGATTCATGAGTTTGGTAGAAGTTTATGCTTTATAAAACCAAAAACAATCCATATTCATTCAGCAAAGTCTGTTACCTCGCGTGATTTCTTCTGGATCGGACTAAAGGTTGAATTTTTCTCATTAAAATACCGGAACGAACACAGAGTAATGCCTTTTTGAGGCTCTTCTTGAAAAAATGATTCCTTTGTCTGATAGTTCTTTGATAGAAATAATGGTTTCAATTGGGTAACTAGAACTATTTCAATATGAAAATAGAAAAATTTGATCAAAATATCAATGTCTAAACATAAAAATTTCTTTATTCAGAGAAATCCGGACAAAGGAAATGTTTTTGAATGGACGGATGGAAGCCCGGTGGATTTCACGAATTGGAGGCCTGGAGAGCCGGATTCGAACACCCACGCTTTTGTGAGACCTTCAACGTGAAATCATCGACATTTATTAATTTATTTATATCCAATGTATAATTAATCAAAAAATTTTCGATCAATTTGAGGAAACTTCTTTGTGTGAAATGACGCAAAGTGTTTTATCAAATGATTTCCATCAGAAATGAACACATTTCAGCTCTGCAGCGGCAATGGGCAATGGAACATCTTTGTACCTACTAATCGCTATTATTTTATTTGCAAAAGGAGCCCTCAATTCTGATAAATGCTTTTTGTTCCTTTCCATTGACAAAAATTAATAAATCCCATCTTGCCCAGTCTTCTGAAACACGCAACTGCACATTATCGCTGGTTTTTATCTGTCTCGCATCGAGGAGATCGGATTTCATTTCTCGGTAACAAATACACAAACAATGTTTTATTTATCACTGTATTATCACGCTCTTTGAGGGTATTTATCATAAACTAACGAATTTTCACATTTTCCTCAAAAAAAGCGATGACGCTGAGCTAATTTGGTCTTTTTTCCGCGCTTTTGGTGTGTAAGAAATATATGTTTATGTTTTGATCTATATAATTTCTTGTGAGACCGTGTCTTCAAGGTTCAATAGTGGTCGTCTTGAAAGCGCACAATTTATCCAATTTTCCCTTATTAGGGCAAACTTCGCTCAAACTGGAGCAACCTGGCACTATCACAATTAATTCAACATTTGCAAGTGTAAAAAAGGGATGAAAGATAGCAAAAAGAAAGGAGGACAAAACTCACTCAAAAGCTTAAATAACGGGTTTTTTAAGTATACAAGCTACAACAAACGGACAGCTGAATATCGTCTAGTGACTGATTACGGTAGTTTATCCATCAACTTTAAATTTTAACTTGTGTATTGAATTTTTGACTAACTGCAGAGCGGTGGCAATTTGCCACATGGTGCTCTAGGTGCAATAAGTTTGAAAAACTGTGCTGAAACAGTGACAAAACTACAAAAACATGCAAAAGTAGCGCCGACTCAATTATTATGTGCTCAAATGACCTTTTTCTTCGTGTGCGCAAAAATACAGTCATGAACAAAAGTCTTGGCGGCACAGACATAGAGGCGAAAAATTCAAGATTTTGTAGGTCTGCCTTTAGCTGCAATGGCCGTTTGGAGCCTCCGGGGCATACTGCTAACTATATGGCGTAAAATTTGTGGCGTAATTGTACGAAGTACCAAAGGTCCGCCTTAGAGCTAAACCGTCTTCCCATGAGTTTCGTCTTGATAAACGCTCAATAACATTCAAATCGGGGCTGTATGGGGAAGCTGAAACGAGTTGAACACGGTTTGCAAGGAACCATCTGGGTAGGCGAGCTCTTCCTCCACTGGCAAGTCGAACAGTGCGGCCCATAAGCAACTGACTCTTGTGGCAAGGAGCATTGTCCTGGTAGAGGAGCCATCCTTGTTCCATGTTGGCGGTCGCAAAAGGAAGAAGATTGTTCTCCAGGATCGTCTTGTAGCGTCTTGT